ACATATTTTCCAGGGACAATTGAGACTAACTTGAGTTAATTGCTATTCATGATGCTTGTGTTAAATGATTGTTCCAGCTAGTTTTATGCAAGTCAAAACCCTGCCTGGATTAAACTGGCCAGTATGTTTTTAGCCTATGGCAGCAGTGCCCAAACTTTTTGGTCCACAGGCCAGGTGACTAGTGTAGGGTGGATCCACAGGCTGGGTCCATGCCATGGGCCCCATACAGCACACATGGGGCCAAGACCTGATCTGGTGCATGCTGGATCATGCCCCAGTCCTCCAAATCCATATGGTAGCTACACCTGTGGTCCCAGCCCTACATGGGATCAGGCCTTGTCATTCCATCCCCATGCATTCTGGGTTGGGCTAAGTTACTGTGCGTTCTCCAGGTCAGGTCAGGCTGCTGTACATCCTCTAGATTAGGCCCCACCACTTCCCTCCAGCCCCATGCTCTCTTGATTGGGCCAAGCCGCCCCACATGCACAGAATTGGGCCCTGTTGTTTGCCACCACCCAGGCATGCTCTGGATCAGACCAAGCTGCTTGCATGTGCAGGATTGGGTATAGCATTGGGCCCTGCCACCCCATCCCCATGTGTGCCTGATGGGGCTCCATCTCCCTCCCCTGTGTGGGCAAATGGGATCCCATGATCTGGGCCATGTCATCTGACCCGTAGGGCTTAGAAATTTAGCAGTAGAGGAGCAGTGACAGCGTTAATTGTCACTGCTTTCCACTTTTCCCTCCCCATCAAGTTTCCAGACCCCTGGCACAATCAGTCCTAGGTCAAATGAGAGGTCTATGTCCAGCCATAGTGTTTCTTATCTGTATATTCTAAAGTGTTTTTATGAATACAGATAAGTATCATTAACTCCATTTTACAGATGTGGAACTAAGACAAAGTGGGATTACAGTAGTTTGCCTGAGATGACAGAGAGAAGAGTGTAGGTTTCTAAACTAGTTGTTTAGTGCCCTCTTCAGTAAAGCACATTGTTTATTTGACTGGCTATGTATACATCCATGTTTACTGTGTATTTGCTGCTATATTTATAACTGGTAATGGCGTAAGTACTGATGAGACATTTCCTGGTTTTGTTTTTTCAGATCTCTCTTGCTTGCTGAGCTTGAAAAGGAAGAGAAAGAAAAGGACTGGTATTATGCTCAACTTCAGAATCTGACCAAGAGGATTGATAGTCTCCCTCTTACTGAAAATGTAAGCAATTACAATAATAACATAGTCTGTTATGTACCCAGTGCTGTGATGCGTATGTAAATCTTTTGTATATTATAAACTAGGTAAAATTCTTTCCAACAGAAATTTTAGTATAATCTTTCTTGTGTTCCAAAATGTATACACACATTTTTTTAAACTAATAAAATAGCACTAGTACCAATAACTCCCTGCGTTCAGACACTACAAGAAAAAATCCAGGGATTCAGTCCCTCTTGCTATGAAGGGATTTGGCAACATCACATATAGTTACCTGAATGACGTATTTTTATTCATTTGAAAATTGCCTTTAACTTTGAAAATCTGTGTTGTGTTAGCCAAAATTTTAGTTTTGGTAGGAGCCTTTAACCCAGAGTAGTGTTGGAGACTGGGAACTTGAATAAGATGCAGGTATAGTCTGAGCAGATGCCAGAGACCCTCTTGTTTGGTTGGGGTTTTTGGGGAAGGGCTTTTACCACCTGCAATGCCTTCCGGTTGGGGGGGGGGGGGTGTGGAAACTTCACCAACATTTAAATTTTATTATGTATAATTAAGGCCTGTATCAGGAAGTATATTTTCACTTTATTATAATGGTTCTAAAAGTAAATATATAATGGATTGCCAAAAAAACACTCCAATCAACTGCATGCCCAGTCTACTGCATATTTTTGCACATTGTTTCTTCAGTAGAGGGTTTTTTTCTTTCTCTAGACTTTCATCTTTTCTGATGAAAAAATCTCAGGCTGTTTATGAGAGCTTAAAAAAATACCTTTTTATATACCCTCAAAGCAGGGGGTGTGAAAGATCTAGCCCATAGAGCGCTATTGTTGGCCCATAGAACTCCTAGAGAGGGCAGGGTGAGTTGGGGAGGGGCCTATCTCCAAAGTCCAGTACAAAGCATCCATGCTTTTAGCTATGTTGACAATATAGTGTGCATATACACAGGTTTATGGGAGGAGACATCCTGTGCAGATACTTGCATAGCCAGTGCTGGGCTCCCAAGAGAAAGGCAGTGCCCTGAGCAGGGGTGGCACTAGGGGAGGCTTGGGGGGCTATAGCCACCCTAAAATTCCCTGTAGGCTCCCCTCCTAGTGCCATTGCCTCCTGCCTCGCTCAGCTGAGCCCACCATGCTGCCGCCCTCCTAGCTGCCCCCCCCCCCTGAGCCCATAGAGAACAGCCTGCCCTCGCCTTGCACGCAAATCTGGGAGGACACATGCCTCCCCTGGAGGTGTGTGTAGTGGATGGAAGCCACCCCCCACACCCCCTTCCCAGCCCCTCTCCACCCCATTCTTAGCCCCGGGGTCACATTCACCCCTCTGGCTGGACAGCACCTGCCCCAACTTCACTCCCTCCTTCACTGTGGGGGCCTCAATCTGCCCCCTCCACCCATGCCCTTTCTTCCCCACAGACTTACATAGCTGAAGTGATCAGAGCTAAACATCCTTTACTGTTGATATAACCAATAAACTTTATCACTACATTTGTTTTTTACTGTCAGTTGTGGACCTATGCACAACATTTTTATAGAGTCATGATCTGATTTATCACCATATTTGTACTTGATTATGCTAATTCTAGGAGTAGGAATAATGTTTTATAATGTTTGGCTCTTTTATTATATTTGCATTTCTGTTATTTTTTGCTTAAATCTATATTATGGTTGTATGTCTGTTATGTTGTTTCAGGAGCGTGGCTTTCAGCCAGAATCCTTAATAAATTGAAATTGAAAAATTGTAGGCTTAAATAAAATATAAAATGAATCTTCATACAATATGCATCTTAAATGCAATTTTTCCTGTATAAAGAAGTTTAATCAACAAATTGTTTTTGTTATCAATCCTGAAATTGACTCTCCCCCCTCATTTTCCAGGCTTCTAATACTTAGTTTTATGGGTCCTATAAGAAGCCTTGAAAATAAGAAGAGCTAGTTAGTGTCAGAGCTGTTTACACCCGTGTTTTAAGTAGTGCTCCTTGAGGACACAGCAATCTCAGTACTGTGCTATTAGCATTTCTCTTATTTTCAAGACTTTAATAGTTGCCCTGTGACAGCTGCTTCCCCTGCATTCTACCTGGTACAGTCAAAGAGACTACAGCTAGTCACAAGATAAATAGTTACAGTTAACACACATTTCTAGCATTCTTTGTTTCCCCCCTCTCCCTTACTGCTACTCTTTTTTCTTTAAACCATAAGTTACAAAGTAGACACTGAAGCTGAAAAATGCCATGCATTTAGCAGCATGTGCCCTTAACTGGTTTACATTTACATAATGTAAGTAATAGACAACAAATTGGGACTGACATTATTGTGCAGTTAGGCAAAATTAGTATTTATCTGATGTATGTTGAATATACTGTAGTAGTGCGTTAGTACTTTAATAAACCTTCTTGATGCACTGTATAGTCCTTCCATAATGCTTAAAATGGCTTTCAGAAACATTTAGGCTTGGTACAGACATTCAAAAAGCCTGAGGCAGAATAAATCTGATTTATGTGGTTTTCTGTAAACAGTGTAGTTTAGTGGTGAATAGAACACACATTTGCCTGGGGGTGGGGGCCACAAATCTTAGGGAGAGTTCTGCCATTTTAGGTACCTGGTCTTATAATCTAATCTCCTTTATGTAAATATGCAAGTTGCCTGTCTTTTGGCACTTTCATGCTTTTCCCCCCAAGAGATATAACTCCTGATGTTCTTTATGCAGTAGATCTTTTAAAACTCACTTAGCATTTATCTTGTATAACTTCCACTTCTGAAGTGTCATGTACTAGGAAGCACTGACTTCACTCAAAATTAAATATTTTGTGCATTTCAGCTGATGTGCATAGCTAGAGATCAAGATAATCAGCTGCATCAAAGGATGTTGTTAAATAAACAAATCTGTGAAAAAACATGGTTTGCTGGACTTGTTAATTTTCCAAATGATTGAATAATTATTACCTGTGCACTTCTGAATATAAGATAACATTTTTAGCTGAAATAATTGCTCCTAGAGTAAAGCATGAGGAAGTTACAGCTAAAAACTGATTTTATTTCTGGCTTTTACTATTTCTATTAATCTTCAAAAGAGAGAGTTTTAAATATACATTAGGATGTTTAAAATTAGATATGCTGATATCTTGGAGAACATACTTTGTAAAATGTTTCTTCTCTTAAAGTCTGGTGTGGCTGTATGATCAAATATGTCTAACAGTAAGTAGTAAAAGTACAGTATTTTAGAGGTAGATTAATATCTTTGGAGTCTTTTTTTAATACTGAATTAATGGCGCACAGAACAAATTTTCTGATGGTATGCTGTTTTAGATATGGATGAGTAAGTGTTCTGTGCATGTGGCAGTGTGATTTTTTTATGTTGGTATATTATGCATAGACAGGTGAAAAACCTTCTCTACAAATCGCATATTGGCTGATATTATATGTTCTTGTTTATAACTTACCTATATTTTAAAAGGTCCTGTATTCAGACTTTGTTTGAGTTTATTAAGTTTTAGCATAGAATACATTGCTCTGCTTTTGTTCAAAAAGCATAGAGCTCGTCTTCCTTGTTTGTTGAAATCTTTTTTGTTTTGGATTTCAGTTCTCCTTGCAAACAGACATGACCAGAAGGCAATTAGAATATGAAGCAAGACAAATCAGAGCCGCCATGGAAGAGCAACTAGGTACTTGTCAGGATATGGAGAAACGGGCACAGGTAATGTTTTGCCAACTGGCTTTACTGTTTAAAGTTAAAATGAATGAAAGGAATCTGATTTTTATTAAATTACTTGTGGTTGTATCTTTGAACTGCTCATGGTTGAGTGTTTTTTTCTGTTTAGTATACTGTCTTAAAAACAAAAATGAGAATCAACACAAGTTTTATTAAAGACGAAGGAAGCAGGAAAGGAAGGAAGGAAATGTCACTCTCACAGTTTATTCAGTCTCACGAGCAGTTCTGGGAACTCCTGAGATTTAGAAAAAAATAGTTCACAAAGAAAGAATTTTTTAAAATATTGGCCTGTGAATATTTTAAACTAAAATTGTTGCAATTTTAATTTAAATAAGATGTAAATGAAATTTTCTTTATTTCTGCTCTGTACTATTTCTTATTTACTTAGTACTATTAAATATAAAATAAAATCAGTTACTTTTTTTTTTAACTCCATCACTAAAATATATGTTTAAGGACTCATCTTTAAACCCAGATATATAAAAAAAATATATCCACATTTATCATACCATAAATCTGTTTACTCTGATGGAGAGTAATGAGTGCATATATAATTATGTAATCACATCCTGTCACCCATGTTTGAAAATATAAATTGAAAGTAGCTGTGTGGTACCAGAAATGAAATAATTGATTGCTGACTATTAACGCAAACTGTTGTGTGTCTGTTAGCATACGTAATTCATTACTACTATTTCAGCTGCTTCAGAGTAATCAGCTAAGCAGACTAGCTTTGCTTTCTTTTGACTGAGTTCAATCCAGGTGAATTCTTTTCAACAAAATGTGCTCTTTTATTTTTGTTTTCTTCACTGAACTTGCTTTAATACAGCATGTGGTTACATAGGAAATAATTCTAATTAATTAGCTGCTTAATTGAAATTTAAGGTAGCTTTTCATAATGAGCCATGTAAACAACTAGTAGGATTTTACTGAAACCTTTTGTGATGTCTTTGAAAGAGAGATTCATTACCTTTTGGTCCCTGAGGTGTGCAGGTTAAGGCTGTAAGGGAAAGCAGTGCAAAACCAGCTTCTGGACTGCTGAGCAGGCTTCCCTGTTGCTCACAGTACAGTAAGCTGAAGTAAGTTGAGATAGTAATGGTGTCTGGTGGCCGAACTTTTAGAAACACTGAAATGTCTTACTCCTACTAAACAGGAGTAACCAAAATCTTTAGGGCAGGGGAGGGAGCAGTGACGAGGAAATCCCTGTGTGGCCCCACTGTCCCCAGCCATGCCGTGTCGTGTCTGGAGGCCACGGAGGGGGGCGGAAGCAGGGCAGAAGCCTGAGCCTGCATCTGTGTCTGCTCCAGGAGTGCATGTGGCAGCGGGGAGCCAGCCCTCCTCCTCCCCCAGACAAGCCACCCGTGGCCCCGTCCTGCTCTAGACCTGCTCATTGCGAACCCGGGCCCCAAGCCCCACCTGGCTGGGCAACAGCCTCAGCCCTGCCCAGCTCCCTCTCCCCTCCGCTTACCTGCTGCAGCTGCTCTGCAGGGTGCCTGGGGCCATGTGCATGTGCATGTCCATGCACATAGCACCTCCCTGTCTCGCCACCTTACTCCTGCTCCCTCTCAGCTCCCTGCAGACTGGAACTGCCAGCCTGTAGGGAGCCCATTGCAAAATGGCAAAATCTGCAGGTTTCTCTTGTAAAACAAGAAATCTGCATTTGCCTCTGGTAAAAGGTAAAATCCATGGTTTACTTAGTTTTTCCGTGGGAGATGGAAAACCTGGATCCCTGCTCATAAAGATTAAATTATCTCTTTAATAGCTACTCCCTTTCCTGCTCTTTGTTTTTCTGCAGGGAATTAACAAGGGAGAGCTTAGTTCATGAAGACACTTAAAATATTCAGTGTCCTTTTGATTGTCATCACAGTGCCATTTTTACAAGATTAGGAAGAAGGAGGAAGATATGTGCATGTGCACTAAAACTTATATACCTTTTCTCTGCATTCTTTATGAATTTTTTAGAGATACTGCAATTGAAAATGGTTAAACGTTATAGATGATTGGCAGTAAACCTGTGGAAAATATTCTGAATCCCAGCCCCAAATAATTGGGTAGGTGAGCTCAATGAGCAGGGACTACTTTTTCTTCTGCAATTGGCTGCACATGCATATAGCAGTAAGGCTCAGCATCTTCATGAATGCATTGCTAAGTAAATAGTTTGGAATTTGGTCCAGGAAGGCCTATATTGGGGCCTATCTGTACCTTAAATTGACTAGGCACATTGCTTATGTCCATCTGCTTCAACAGGAATGCTCAGCTTTGCCAGAGTTGGCTTGGGGAGCCTGACTTTTCACCATCTATACATGTCCATAACCACCATCTGGTTATAATCACCATAGGGACAGGCTTTTATTAATGTACAATATCTAGCACAATGTACTCTCCAATTCCAGTAAAGAAGTCTGGAATGTTAATTTATTCAACGCTTGATCAAGTCTGAAATACCTTATGCTAAAATACAAGGAATCTCTGAACAAAAATTAGAGAAGCAATATTTTTATGTATATACACAAAATATACTCAAGGAAACTGTGGCAATAAGGCTTGCAAAGAGGGGCCCAGATGATCTAAAGGCTTTCTTCACCACAGCTGATTGAAAAGGGATAGCATCCTAGTAGCCATCTAAACAATGGGACATCTGTTGGCCCTTATGGAACAGAGCTGTACACACCATGTACTGAGACCTGGATGGAGTGGTAGCACATGACTGCAACCAGTTAAAAGTGAGTACCAACACTACCTCAGTATAAGAGAGGACATTTCAGACATCAGTTGACAGAATAGAAATAGCCCCAGGGAACCCCAAAACAAACTGGATTTCTGGCTTTTGAGCGTCTGTGGTTGAACCAGTTGGTCCACGTATTCCCAATATGGAGGTAGGGGCTGAAATATCAGTCTGGCACTTGAGCCAAGCTAATCCAGCCAAATGGAGAACTATAGTCATCGTCTGCAGTCCCTTGATATGAGGATGACTGTCTTCCAGTGAAAAAAGAAGTAATTGTAGGGTCTGCACATGGCCAAGGAGGCTGATCTGAGATCCCCATGTTTGACTGCAGACATGGTTAACAGTTTGGGGAAGTAGTAGCAGATCCTGGTGGTGTCAGATCACAGATCTTTCCCTTTGTCTCTCTTGCCTATCCACCTCAGTAGGGAGGCAAGTTTGCTTAAAGTGATTAAGACCTTGTTGTACATTACAGCACACCATTCAGTGCTCAAGTCTCCCAGGTACTGATGTTTATACTGCATTTCTTCAGATTGGTCTTTAAAATGTCCTTGAATCTCTTCTTTTGTCCACCTCTGAAGCAGTAACTATCAGTGAGTTGGGAGTATAGAACCTGGTTTGGGAGCCAGTTGTCAGGCAGGGTTCTAATCTTACGATGGTGGAAGGCACAATTTAAGAAATGTCCAAAGACAGCTGGCAGATTTTGTCCAATTTGAAATATTATCATTATGTTTACTTTAATAATACTTTAATAATACTTTAATATTATATTATTAAAGTATAATTAATACTTTAATAATACTTTAATACTTTAATATTATCATTATGTTTACTTCAAGTAGGAGAAATGCTGAACATTCTCCAAGGATTGCCCTCTGGTTGTAATGTGTGGAGGATGAGCTGGTTAGTTTGGGGTGCACTCAGTTTTCATTTTCACAAAGTTGACATTGAATACAAACATTTCATATGCTTCACAGAAGCCATCAAGAGGGACCTGGAACTGTGGGGGCGCATTCAACACAATTGTCAGCATACTGAAGATCAGAAATGGAGGCGAGTGTTGGTGCAATCACCAACACTCCAGTTCTAATAGTGAAAGGATCCATTTCCAAGCCATTGCTTAGGACGGGTGCTGTAATGTCATCATGAAGAAGTCTGATAATTGTTACAACTTTGGCAGGTATCCAAATCTCATCAGATGTTCTATATGGCCTCTCTGCTGACTGAATCAAAGGCTTTAGGTCAGGCGGCCATGTAAAGGTCTTAATGTATCTCACAGCACTTCTCTTGCAGCTATCTAGCAACAAAGATCATAAACACTGTACCACTAAATGGTCTGAAACCACACTGGAAGTCAAGTAGAATCTTCTCAGTGAGGAAAGTGAGTCTATTGAGGAGAAAGCAAGCAAGAATCTTCCAAGCTATGGACAACTACACCACAATAATCACTGCAATCTGATCCATCTCCTTTCTTAAACATGATAATGACACTGGCATCCAAGTTACTGGAAATCTGTTCATGTTTCCATAGTGTAGTTGATGAAAGCATGTTTCTACCTTGCTTATAAATTTTAGCTGGTATTCTATCAGGGCCACATGCTTTGCTGTTCTTCACCTACTTAATGACTTTCAAAACTTTCAAATAAGTTGGTTAATCTATAAGATAGTCTTTAATGGGATGTCATGGAATGGCTTTGATTGTATTGTCTCTGACATTAGAAGTGAAAGACAAAGGGCCATGAGATGTTTGCTGATGCCAGTTGGGCATTCTGGCATCTGAGTAATAATTTTGGTCTTAATAGCAAAACCAACACCATGGATGTGTCCCTTTTTCATATTTTCTTTTACCTGCCACCCCCCCCAAAAACAAACAAACAAACAAACAAAACAAAACAAAACAAAATGGAGAGAGAGAGGGAAGTAGCCACCACCATTCTCTTCCTCATGACTTGTCCCTCTTCTGCATGTCTGGTTTCATTAGCCTCAGTTCTCTAACCACAAGTACTTTCCTATGCTCGAGACAGTCCCTGTCAGGGTTGTCCATCAGGATGCTGACATTCCAGGCTGCAAATTTCATTACTTAATTTGGACCACAGATAGCATGATCCCACTGGATGCAGTTGGCCAGTCAGGTGAAGTGAGATGGACTATGTTTAGGGCACCTTTTCCAAGTTCCTCCCCATACTGAGTGAGGAGTAGATCCTAAATAAGCCTTGTCAGTCATGATTGCAGCTACTGAATTGCATATCTATCTTAGGTTCAA